AGAGATAGTAGGAACTGCAGATGCTGGAGAATCTGAGATAACAAGGTGTAGAGCTGGATGAACACAGCAGGCCAAGCAGCATCAGAGGAGCAGGAAGGCTGACATTTCGGACCTACACCCTTCTTCAGAAAAGATTTCTGAAGAAGGGCCTAGGCCCGGAATGTCAGCCTTCCTGCTCCTCTGATGCTGCTTGGCCTGCTGTGTTCATCCAGCTCTACACCTTGTTATCTCAGATTCTCCAGCATCTGCAGTTCCTACTATCTCTATAGTCCAACAGGTTTATTTTAAAACACAAGCTTTCAGAGCATAGCACCATCATCAGATGAAGTGAGAAAGCAGCACACAGAACACAGAATTTAGAAAGAAAAGATCAAAGTTTCACATAACGGATGAGGATGTATTAAACAAACCCGAGGGCTTTTAAATCTTTAATCAGTTAGAAGGTTTTAACTGAATAATATGTGTATGTAAATCCCAGAATTCCTTTCAAGTTACCGTCCTGAGAGAACTAAAGGTGTAAAGAAGACGTGACATTTTAGGTCAGACAATGCACGTTAGATGTAAGGTCTTGTTTAGAATCTGTTTGTGTTTTGGTTTGGAGTCAGATTGGTTTATTTCTAAAACATGAATTTATAAACACCATATTGACTGACTGTCCATAAATTATGTGTTTATTGAACAAAATAGAATGTATCTGCAAATACAAATGCACCCCATAGATTTGTGCGCGCGCACGTGTTGGGGAGTGGGGGCGGGGGGTAGAAGAGAGAGAGAGCGCGCGAGAAAAAGAGCGCGAGCGAGAGCGAAAGACAGCGCGAGAGAAAAAGAGTGAGAGCGAAACAGCGCGCGAGAAAAAGAGCGCGAGTGAGAGCAAAAGAGAGCGAGCGAGAGCACGAGAGCAAAAGAGCGAGAGCAAAAGAGCGAGAGCGAGAGAAAAAGAGCGAGAGCGAAAGCGAGAGAGCGAAAGACAGCGTGAGAGAAAAAGAGGAGAGCGAACGAGAGAAAAAGACAGCGGAAGAGAGTGAGAGAGAGCGGAAGAGAGCGAGAGAGAAAGAGAGAGCGAGAGACTCTCTTCCTCTCCCCTGCCGTGCACGCGATCTATGGGGTGAATTTGTACTTACAGATACATCGTATTTTGTTCACAACTCGTCGGCTTTGTAACCCTTTGATCTTTTACTTGTAAATTCTGTGTTCTGTGTGCTTCCTTCTCACTTCACCTGACGAAAGGGCTATGCTCTGAAAGCTTGTGTTTTCAAATAAATCAGTTGGACCATAACCCAGTGTCGTGTAATTTCTGACCCTGTCCATCCCAATCCAACACTGGCACCTCCACATTAAGGTATGTTGCAGGTACTTTCTTAGGTACTGGGATGATGGTGGTCTTCTTGGAGCAGGTGGAGATTTCGGCTTGTAGGAGTGAAAGGTTGAAGATATCAGCGAATACCTTCGCCAGCCGGTCCGCACAGGATCGAAGTGCCCAGCAAAGGACTCCGTCCAGGCCCATTGCTTTTCTTGGGTTGACTCCCAGGAAGACTGATCTGATATCTGCAGCAGTGGAGGCGGGCGGGTGGGAACAGGTGCATTCGGGGCTGTCGGGGCAGGTGACGCCACATCGCTGGCATTCTGCTTGAACTGAGCATAGAAAACATTGAGCACACCAAGGTATGAGGCATCTTTGTCCTCTTCCTTCTGCTGCTTCATTTTCTTTCCTGTTAGATTGTTTAGGCCTTGCCATAGGTGGTGGCAGTCCATATGGTTGGTTTGGGCCTCTAACTTGATCCGGTACTGCCTCTTGACATGTCTGATAGCTTTGCAGAGGTCACATCTGGATTTTCTATATAGGCCTGGGCCACCCGACTTGAATGCTGCACACTTGGCCTTCAGTAGGGAGTGGGTTTCCCGGTTCACCCAAGGTTTCCGGACAGGGAACACCTGGACTGACTTCTTTGACAAGCACGTCCTCCACACATGTGCTAATGAAGTCCATCATGGTGGTGGAGTACTCGTCCAGGTTTTCAGCTCAGTACTTGAATACGGTCCAGTCCACTGATTCCAAGCAATCGCAGAGACACTCTCCCACTGCCTCAGACCAGCATTGAATTTCTTTCTGTGAAGGATCCTCCCGTTTCAGCTTCTGCTGTAAGCTGGGAGGAGGAACACAGTATTATGATCTGATTCTTGGAAATGTGGTTGGGGGATGGAGTGGTAGATGTCTTTGATGTTGTGTAGCAGTGGTCCAGGATGTTCAGTCCTCTAGTAGGGCAGGAGATGTGTTGGTGGTACTTTGACAGCACCCTCTAGAGAACAAGCACTCCAAAATCCCTCTGTTCTTCTGATCTTCCTCACGTCCTGTCATTCATTGACTACTCCCTTGTCTTGTTCTTTGTTCAAAATCAACTCATACATATTAGGCTTAAATTCCATCTGCGACAGATCTGCCCATCTGACCAATCCACTTGTATCCTCCTGTAACCTAAGAACTTTTGCCTCTCTGTCAGTCACCGGCCAATCTTTGTGTCATCCACAAACTTACTTATCACACCCACCACCACACCCACCCCCACATTCTCCTCTACGTCGTTTATGAATATCACAAACAATAAGGACCCAGTGCTAATCTCTAATGATATGCCACTGCACACCAAGCTGCAATCACACAAGTAACATTCCACCAACCTGTCTCTAGCCACCAAGCAATTTTCAGATCCAACTTATCAAGTTACACTGGTTCCCAAGAGCTTTTACCTTCTTTATCAGTTTCCCATATGGGACCTTGTCAAAGGCCTTGCTGAAAACTTGTCAGGCCACAGGTGAAATGTTGTAAACAGTTTTGGGCCAATTATCAAACAAACGATGCACTGACATTGGAGGCAGTCCAGAGAAGTTCACTAGGCTGATACAGGTATGGAAGAACTGTCTTATGAGTAATAGGGTAGATCAGCAGATTGGGCCTATATTCATTGGAATATAGAAGAATGAGATTTTATCGAAACAGATTCTTAGAGGATTTCACAGCATAGATGTGGAAAGGTTGTTTCCCTTGTGTGAGAATCTAGGACCACAGTACATAATCTCAAAATAAGGGGTTGCACATTTAAAATAGAGATGGGGAAGAATCTCCTCTCTCAGAGGGTTGTGAATCTGTAGAATTCTTTACCACAGAGGTCTGTTGAGGCTGGATCATTAAATATATTCAAGGCTGAGACAGCCTTTTGAGTCAGTCAGGGAATCAAAAGTTATAGGGAAAAGGCAGAAAAGTGAGGTTGAGGATTATCACATCAGCTATGATCTCATTGCAGAGCAGTCTCAAATGAGCTGAATGGTCTACTTCTGCTCCCATGTCTCATGGTCTAAATATGCATCATGTTATTCCATTTGGACAGACATCATGACACAACATATTTCTATGCTGCAGCCTCAATTTTAACCAGATGTGGACATGTTATCTGTAGATAGCAAAAGAAAATTCTTACTCGAGCACCCAAGGCAAATCCAGGCAATTTGAACTCCCTCTGCTCAAGAGAGATCCAAAATTTCCTTCCAGGATCTTGAGAAGAGTCCCTGTTCTTCCTTGACCATAAGGAATTCCTTAAAATGTAGAAGGAATCTTTTACTGGAGTTGGGCAGACAGTGTATTGTGTTTGCGGCAACTTTCCCTGGAGGCTTCACCACTATGTATCACTGCCTTAAGGCTCAATAATTACAGAAGCCCAAATGAAACAGTTGGTGCTCACACATTTGCATACTAATAAAGGTCTCAGTTGGTATAAGGGAGTTAACCACAACATTCAGGAGTTAAAATGGCAGCAAAGTGGGTGGAAAGAGAACTATTTCAAATGATACTGAGCAAAGTGTCTAACTACAATTTTAACGCGTCCATCCATTCCACACCTGACCATCAAACAAGATTAAAATCTTTATTTAAAGAGTCTGCATATGTTATCCAGTGAAACACTCACCAGTCTATACGTGCATCTTTACCAAAGTTAATGCAGAAAAGAATTTCAATTAACTCAATCTCCCAACACACATCTATAATGTGAGAAGTTTGTGAAGAATTCCATTATTTACAAAATGCAATCAGCTGACACCACTGCAAACAAACTGCGTTAACTGTTAACTTTCACAGAAAGAAAAGCATTGAACCAGAAGGAAAAGAAACACTTTGTTTAGCTGTACTTTACCTGGTAAGCATTTCAGTGAGTTTTACAAATCCAACATATGCTAATTCAAATGCACCTCTATGTCTGGATTGTAGAAGCTGGCATTTAAAGTACTCTCCAATTTCTCCAACCTATATTGCAAGAAAAAAAGTCCAAAAATTATGTTTTATTTCAAGACAAATTTAGTACATAACATGGTCATTTTATTCTGAAAAACTCCATTCTGCAGAATGGAATGGAAGTAGTCAGTCTCCATGCAAAACATTATGGAAATTGCTGTATAATTTAACCTCTTTAAATACGCTCATGGCATGCGAATGTTGCTGACTGAGTCAGCATTTACTGCTCCTCTCCAGTAGTCCTTTTAGAAGGTGGTGACGAGCGGCCTTCCTGAATCGCTGTGTCTATATGCTATAGATAGACCCACAATGCCCCAAGGGAGGGAGTTCCCAGAATTTTAACACAGCAACACTGAAGGAACGGTGATATATTTCCAAGTCAAAATGTTGAGTAACTTGGAGGCAAATTGCAGGTAGTGGTGCTTCCATGTATCCTTGAGGAATTCCTGCAGAGATGTCCTGGAGCTGAAATGACTTACACCAACAACTACAACCATCTTCCTTTGTACCAGATAGGATTTCAAACAGCAGGGAGTTTTCCTGACTCCTAATGACTCCAATTTTGCAAAGGTTCCATGTTGCCACACTCAGACAAATGCAGCCTTGATATCAAGGGTAGTCACTCTCACATCACCTTTGGAATACTGCTCTTTTGTCCATGTTTGAACTAAGGCTACAATAAAGTCAGGAGCTGAGTGACCCTGGAGGAACCCAAACTGGGTGTCAGTGAGCACGTTATTGCTGAGCAGGTGCTGCTTGACAGCATTGTTGATGACACCTTTCATCGGTTTACAGATGATCAAGAAGGGACTATTGAGGTTGCAACTGGCCAGGTTAGATTAGACCTGCATGACATACATGGGCAATTTTCCACATTGTTGGGTTGATACCAGTGTTATGGCTATACTGTAACAGCTTGGCTGAGGGTGCAACAAGTTCTGGAGCACAAGTCTTCAGTGCTATTACCAGAATGCTGTTCAGGCCCATAGTTTTTGCAGCATCCAATGTTGCCAATTGCTTCTTCATATCACATTGAGTGAATATATTGGCTGAAGACTGGCATCAGTGATGTTGGGAACCTCTGGAGGAGGTGAAGATGGATCTTCTACTCAGCATTTCTGGCTGAAGATTACTGCAAATGCTTCAGCCTTATCTTTTGCACTGATGTGCAGTGCTCTCCATCATTGAGGATGAGGAATTCAAATTTATTTAATCCAAAATGTTATCAACCAGTGAACCCATAGATGTGCAGTCTATTACAATGGAAGCAGCAAAAATGTTGAATGCTCTAGCATAAAATTAAACAAGGCATCAAAACTTCTGTGAAACTGGACAGCTTGCATTAGCAAGGCAAACTGGGTCTCACGCTTCAAGTTTCAGGTACTTGCAGATCCTTTTTACACGAATGAACAATATCACAACAATGATCACATGATCCTCTACAGTTGGCCTGCCAATGATATCTGATGCAGATTACGCAATGTCCATATCTGTTTTCTGTTCTCGCAGTAGACTAATTATTACTTGAGAGACTCCAGAGTCAGTCTGCATTTAGTCCGAATGCAATTAGAATACTTTTGTACCAATGATTTTTTCCACATCTGTAGTTACACCCAAAATTCCAAAAACATGAACAGATATTTCAAAAGCAAAGCACAACATATCCCCAGAAAATATGGGATCTGCGTCATGGACTACGCTTATCCATATTGCTAGGTTTCCTAGCTAATGGTACAAGTCACATCCCACAACGAAACCTGGGTTGAACATCATATATTCAATTTTTTCAATTGGCTAAAGTGGTGGTTAGCTACTTGAATATTTTCCCGTGATGTTACAGATGTTCTCACACAATAGAAAATAAGTTTATTGTACAAAAGAAAACAAATAATCTAAGCCATATAATTACAGTTAGAAAGATCTTACCACAAAGTTTCAATCTGTTTCCCAACACCATCTGATACAGAGACTTAATCTCCGAAATATCACTCCCACCTCAGCTTTTGAAATCTTTACCATATTGAGGGCTTCCAGTTTCTTTAGTTTGAAATGCTGAAACAACTTTACTATTCCTTCCAGAGTCTGATGACATAAATCTTTCATAATTCTTAAGTTCCAAACATTTTCCAGTTCTAACAACTTGAAGATTTCTATCCCAAACTCTCCTGGCTTGGAAACTTCACAAACTAAGGTCCCTGGTTCACCTGAACGGAGCAGAAAATACTCCTGTACAGAGACGCCTTTTCCTTTTAAACTAAACTCTTACTTTCTTCTGACCTGATGTCAAAACAAAATTAATGGTTTTGCTCTGTCTTCTCTGCCTGTCAAACTCAGAAGTATAACATATTCTCCATTAAGACCACAAGAGTTTATTCCAGGCCTTGATTGTAGTCATATGCCTTCTTGGAACTAATGCACTTAGCTCAATGCCCAAATTGCTTTCTGACTTGTTTTGAAAAACCTTCAGAGAGTTAACCCACATCCATCATTCCATCAATGGAATATTATACTGCACTTGATGCTCTTAAGTCCTGCCTCCATGAACATACTTAAATGCCAAAGGATTTGGTTCGTGTCAATATTTTTCCTAATTAACGCTATGATAATATAAGCTAATGAAAAGAAATGTGTTTCACATATTAGACAAACATGAGTAACTTCTGTTTATGCATCTTATCTAATCTCTCCAACAGAACAGAACAGGGTGGTATAGAAGGCCAGCGGTTAGTGCTGCCGCCTCACAGCACCTGCAATCTGGGTTCAATTCCAACCTTGGACAACAGTCTATGTGGAGTCTGCACATTCTCCCCACGTCTATGTGAGTTTCCTCTGAGTGCTCCGGTTTCCTCCCACAGTCCAAAGACGTGCAGGTTATGTGGATTGGCTATCCTAAATTGCCCGTAGTGTCCAGGGTGTGCAGGTTAGGTGGATTAGCTGGGAAATGCAGGATTACAGGGACTGGATTGGGTTTGGGTGGGATGCTCTTTGGTGGGTCAGTGTGGACTCGATGCATTGAATTGCCTGCTTCTGCACTGTAGGGATTCTATAAGAACTGAACTTCCTCAACCCTGATACCATTCTAGCAAATTTCTTCTACACCCTCTCAAAAGGCCATGACATCCTATCTTAAAGGGTGTGCCTAAAATTGAGAAAAATAGCCTAGCAAATAAAAAAGTGTTCACCAAAACGTCATTGCTTTTGCAATCATAGGCCTCTATTTATAAAGCTAAAAATTTTATCATCTTAGCAGCTTTCTCAACTTGTCCTGCCACTTTCAAAGACCTATCTGTGAAAATATCACACACATAATCAAATATAAAGAGAAATCTGAATAATACCTGGTGGAACATCAGTAGCCCATCCTTTAAGTCAGGTGTTGACTGAAGAGGCAAATTTTGACACAAGAAGCCTAAAAGCAAGGAGACTTCCTTCATACTTCTCCAGCAACATACAAGAACCATCTGGGCAGTAACCTGGCAAGACTGGCCCGCCTGATCTGCATATGGTAAACAAAGACAAGTATAAGAATCAAACATTGCTTAACTTGCCAATAAAATGATTGGAAGCCTGATATCCCCTGTCCAATTTTTTAAAAGATTTTTTTTTAAACTAAACAATTATTGACACGCATCCTCAACATAATTTATATGTATTATCCTAAAAGCAAAACACTTCAGACTCTTATTGTTTGCATTCTCTACATCATGTATACTTCTAACCCAGAAAGCAAACAGGGTTCTACCAAAATTGATCAAGTCAACCACAATGTATAAAGAGCAGTTCACACATTTTATTTCTCTTCCTTTCATATCTTCCCAATAAGATGTTCAATCTCAACAACCTCACATAAGGTATCCTATGAGCAAAAAGTCTTATCAGGTTGCTCTGGGTGCAAAAAATGAAGGCACCCACCACATGGTAACACTGTACTGTCACAGAAAACACATTTGTTATCACTGTACATAAAAACAAAAAGTTAACTGAGAAATTGCTTCATAGGTTAATACTGGAAATGTAGACAACCCAATTAACTAATCACTCATTGAATGTAGATGACACTGACTAAGCCAGCATTCACTGCCCATCTCCCAAGACCCCCACTCCAAGTCAGGATGAAGTGTGGCTTGGGGAGGAACCTAAAGTTGGCATTACCAGGTGTATGTCCATGTCCTCGCAGGTGACAGAAGTTATGGGTTCGAAAATTGTTATCTAATAAGGCTTAGTCAGTTGCTTGCAGTGCCTCTTGCAGATGGTACACTCTGCTGCCACCGTCAGTCAGTGGTGCAGGGAGTGAACGCTGAAGGCATTAGATGAGGCGTCAATTAAGGGGACTGCTTTGTCATGTTAGGTGTCAAGATCCTATAATGTTTTAGAGCTACATTCATCCAAGCAAATGAAAAGCATTCCACCATACTCCTAACATGTGTCTTACAAATGATGTACAGGCGCTGATGAGTCAGGTGAAGAGTTACATGTTTTTGCATAGATGTGCGGGGCTCGCCCATCGTTAAGAATGGGAATATGTGATAAGCCTCCTCTCTTGTGAGTTTTTAAATTGTTGACCATCATTCACAACTAGATGTAGCAGAACTGATTTGTTGGTATCCCTTAACTCTATAGCAAATTTCTGTGCCGTTGTCACCCTCAGTAGCATCCTCCTAGTGTTCAACATGGCACAGAACTATTTCAGCAGCTGAAGCAATATAGTGATAAGTGGTTACTAGCAGATTTTCTTGCCCAGTTGTAAACCTAGAAATTTTTTCTGAAATTTTTCTTTTACATTATGAGGGATGATAAACAAGAGATGCTTAATTGTATTACAGCGCCACCAAGTGGTCATATGGTTTTAATTCATATATGAGTTCCTGAAAAGTGAACTAAACACTATACTTATATACAAAACTCATAGTGCAAACAACAGAATGTTTTTCACAGGAAGCAGAAGACTACTTAGCAGTACAGTAGGCACAAATTAATGGAGGCTGAAATCAATAGAATCAATTTACAATCTAGATCTGTTATTTACTTAAGTAGTTTCATTTGAATTCTCAAATGTGCCACCAGATGGAGCTTCACCCAGAAATAAAACACCATGTCCTGCCATCGCAATGGAATAGGAAGTCAGTGCTACTAACACCAATGTTGTGCATTTGGAACAGCAACAGTTCTGTCTCTGGATGCATGTGTGGTTTTGCTGAAGTCTACATTCATTGTCCATTGAATGCTCACCACCTGCTTGTTTGTTCCATATGCCAGCCTGCTCGACACTCCTATTGTAGCCCCACTTGTCTCTACACAAGAAAGCTGAACACTTCAATCAACAAAACTTGTACATCAAATATGTATCTAAGTATTAAATAAACTGTGCTTTCAACATAAACAGTTCATTCAATTTCAATGTGCTTCAATGCAGGCAACAACCTGCAGCATCAATGACAGTGACATCATGAGCACTACAATTGTGGGTGCAGTGAGTGAATTGCTTGTAGTTGTGGTAGCGAACAGCCAAAATAAAATAAGCATCCTCAAAACCGATCACAAGGTTGTTATCTTTGCAAGATCACATGGGATTTTCTTAAAGCGATAGGAGGGTACGCTAGTACACAGGGACAAATATTCTGCAAAAAAAGCAAACCTCACTGAATCTCTCACATCCGCTTTGACAACCATTTATTATCACTAATCATACAAGGGCTTTCAGAAGCCAATTTTTTTGTTGCAATCAACGTGCTGCAACTACTCCATACTCATAAGCAAGTTCACAACGCCATGACACCTCTTAAGGGAAGCCAAAATTTCTATGGGAGACACTGCATCTTGCATAATGAGTGACCCAAAATAAAGGAAGGTGTCAACCTCACAGGTCTTTCCGCCTTTGTCTCATCAACATGGATTAGGAGACTTTACGTCTGGTTAACTTCGTCAAGACAATCTCCTCTGAGTTAGTGTGCAGATTGATATCATATTCACCATCCACAATCTGAATCCCACCTTTGTGTCCACTAACTGTCACCTGGAGAACTGAGCAATTTTGGTCACCTTATTTAAGAAATTATATAATTCCATTGGCGGCAGTTTAGACAAGATTCACTCAGATGGTACGGAGAGATTGCCTTGTGAGTAAAGATTTAAATAGGTTAGGAAGGAGTCTACTCAGGGAATTTAATGAGAGGATGTTTCCCCTCATGGAGGAAAGGATCCAGGACCAGGCGTACAGTCTCAGAATTAAGGGGCATCAATTTAAGATTTAGATGATAAATTTCTTCTATCAGAGAGTTGAGTGCCTTTAGAACTCCATGCCACAGAGGCCTGTGGGGCAGAGTCCTTGTGTATATTTAAGGTTTAGTTAAGGAGGTTCTTGATCAGTTGGGGAAATTAAGGATAATGGGGAAAAGGCAGGAAAGTGGATGTGAGGAATGCCAGATCAGTCATGATCCTATTGAATGACGGAGTGGGTTCAAGAGGCTGAATGGCCTCCTCCTGTTGCTATTTCTTATAGCCTTATGATTAAGTGTCTCTCCCAAAACCATCTGCTGAGGTGTTGAGCAAGTATGGCGAGAGGCCACAACCGTGTCCAATTCTTAGTCTGACTGTGAATCATTCTGTAAGGGTACCAGTAATTCTGCCCCACCTCGATGTTTATAGTAGATTGGCTCACAGGTTGCTGAAATGTCTTGGACAGAATGACTGGAGAACTGCAAATGTTAAACTGTATGCAAAACAGGGTGCAAGGATAAGTCCAGTAACTGAGTTTAATTTCATTGCTTTGCAAACTTTATGAAACAATAATTTGGGACAAAATTAATATGCATTTGGGTTAATGAAGGAAAGCCAGCATGGATTTCTTAAGGAAAAATAGTGTTCAACTAACTTGATAGAGCTTGTGGATGAGATAAGAGGGCATTCAGCAGGGTAATGCTGCTTGTGAGGGGCTCATGGCCATCCAGAAGGCATCTGATAAAAATTTTTACTTCACAACAGATCTGTAGATGTTGCAACGGCCCATGACTGAAGTTGATATAAAATAGTCATCCAGGGCTTTTTAAGCTGTCGTAAGATGGCCATAAAGGGATCAGCAGCTGCACATAGCAGACTTTCACAGGCAGACTTGTGGTCTCCATATAGAGTCACTGGTTAACATAATGAAAGGTCAAAAAAAGGTAAATTATTGTTAAAGTGGACAAAACATGAAGAAAAAGGATACCAGAAACCACACAGCTACCCTTGTGATTTGAGTAACTATTGGGACTAAACTTATCACACAGAAAAATCAAAAAGACTTTTTTTTAAATTCAATGAACGTTTCCAAGCATGAATGGAAATTTCTTAATGGTTCCGTGGAGTTGTGAATAGCTTTTCCTAACTCAATGCAACCTGAGATTGGAGTTAGTAGCCAAAACAGGTAAAATCAAATTAGCAGTTAAAATGTAATTACCTCGACTAAAAGACAATGTAGGCCAACCTGACTCCCCTATGGAAATCCGATTTGCTACTTTTGGGATAACAGCCATTTTTACATTTCAACCTGTATAAAACAGACCATGTGCAACCAACATCTACCACAGGAAGAATTCCAAGACATTGTGAAGAAGTTGGTTCTCAGCTAAAACAAAGTGCTTGGTAAAAGGCCTATAGAAATCAATTGGAGCCATGCTGCAAAAGTCCAGACAACCTGCATGTGCCGTAACTGCAGTACTAGTGAGGAACAAGAAACTTTCTCTCTCCCACACCTCAAATCCTGCTGAAATGCTGAGTCAACCTGTTTAACAAAAACTGACTTATCAAATACGGAACTCGTAGCAACTGCTGAATTTGACTTCAAGTTTTAATCTCCAATTCAGAAAAAAAATCTTTGCAACAATCCACATTGGCAAGAATCTTAGAGATTGATACTACATTAAGTTTCTTTTATCCATATCTACTTTCAAACTTTACTTGTACTTTACTATTTTTTATTTAAATAACTTTCAGCAATAGCTGTATAAGGTTAATCTTTTATCTTGCTTAAGGCATAAAAAAACTGTGCTGCAAGTTATTTTCATATTGAAATGCTCACAAACTTAAAAAAAAGACTATAAATGGGTTTTAAAAAATGCAGCTCACAGGTCACGAAAAAAATAGAGGGTACAATTATAAAGGGGGCGCAAGAGCAGAGGATGCAGGGCTACATGTGCACAAATTACTAGTTGAATGGGGAAAAACAATGGCAGGGCTAAGTAAATTGCTCTTGCAAACAATCAAACAAGACACAGGGGGCTAAAATGCCTCCTTCTGTGCATTACCATTCTATGTCATACTTGCCCAGTAAAATAACCAATACGTTTGATGAGACAATAACTGAAGATAGAAACACAATTTGCAAAATATCAAATTAACAAAAGTCCTTCACCCCTTTCCACATGGTACAACTTGAAGGTTGGAGTGAAGCTGGTCATTTTAAAGAGTTAACAATATGCTTTGCTCAGATAAAAAGGGAAAACAACCAGTCTCATCTTTCCTGTTCTCATCTGGCCAATTAATTGTGTCCAATGCTGGTATGCAATCCCAAAGACAGGTGGCATTCAGAATTATTACTACTTCTCTTCACATAGTATGCAAGAAATCTCTCCTGGGTCTCCTCTCTCAGAACCAAAAGTCTTGTTGTATTGTTTCATTACTTTTGCTGTGACTAAGTGATTCCTGAAATCACTTTTGAATAGCTTAGCTCTAATTTTAATATTATGCCTCTTATTCTTTTCCAACCTACAAAAGGACATAAACGTTCTCTTCATTTATCCTATGAACTCTAGGCATCTTAAAGATGTCAACTACACTGCCCCTCAAACTTCTGCACTTAAGGAAATAAATGCCTTTTCTCTGCACCCTATTATTATTTACTTTTTTTTAAGCTAAGTAGCATTCTGGTACCATTCTGCTCTCATCTAAGGCCAAGGTATCCTTCCTGAGATATTGTACAGAAAGACAACACAGTATTCAGTCTCAGCCTAAGCAGAGCTCTATACCACTACATCAACCACCCACTTGCAATTCAGACCTTGAGATAAAGAATAACATTCTTTTAAGCTTTTAATTTTCTTAAATCTGTTAGATTTATTGAATACTGTATTTGGACACTTAAATCACTTAGCTTCCTCACTATTGTTAGTCTGGTTTTTGTGCAGGAATACATTTTGACGTGGCTAAACCAGTAACCAGCAGACTTTTTCCCCAATGTAACCATGTTTACATCTCAAATTTAGTGTAACATTGAGGTTAGAAGTTAGGAGGGTTTGAGAGCTGTTGAACTGGAAAAACGGGTATCAGTTACTAAATGATGGGTGGTGAGCGAGTGGAAGGAGGTCGGCGTGCAGCCAAATAAGCAGGAGGGAGAAAACAAGCAGAAAATGGGCAGGAATAAGGGAGGGCGAAAGCGGGAGGGCAGAAGCAGGAGGTGAAGAGGATGGGCAGAAACAGAAGCAGGAGGGTGAAGGGGAGTGAGGGGGAGAGAGAGGGCAACTGAGCAAGAGGGACGGATGGAGGGCGAGCTGGAGGGATTGAGGGAGAGCAGGAAGGTAGATGGAGGGTGAGGGCGGGACAAAGAGGGAAATTTATTTTCCTTGTACATTTGTTGAATCTTTAAGTCATACTTAAACGTACACGTTTACATGAATATTTTTCCCTTACCCATCATTGCCACACTCAAATTTTCAGAAGGTTTGCAATCTTCAGAGGCATTTTTGCTCAATTCTTGGTCTTCGTCACTTTTCAGCAGTTTTGCATGTGCAAAATAATCATTTGTGTCCCGTGGTTTTATTTCATTTAAAATCTTCTGTAGATTTCTGGCTGTCTCTAAAAATAAATGGAGATATTACTAGACGACCTTTTGCTTTATTTACAGGTGAATGCTATGTAACAAGCAAAGAAACAAAAACTGCCCTGAAATAGAATAACTTTTTGCATTAACTGCTACCAACAAAAGCAATTAGGTCAGCTATCACATGGAGTAATTTTTTGGATTGAACTCTCATTGTATCACCCCAATGGCTTGGTCTTACCAAAACCTGAAGGATATTTGTGTGATATGTCTATTTTCACATTAAATATGCTTAAACTTCTCATAGCAAAACTTCACAAAATACTCATTCATGCATCTTAGAAGTCTTCACGCCTTTTTTACCCCAGAAGAAATTTTTAAAACTATAAAAGCGTGATTTACATTTAATTGGGAGAATTAATTTTATTACAAAGTTACACAATAGGACATTTTAAAAGTTACCCAAAGAAATAACCATAACATTGTAAGTGGAGAAATTCTACACAAAATGCAGATCAAACAATCTGCATTTTTTCTCTCTTTTGGTATTACAATTTATTTTCCTTATCTGTATCCTTCTATTAATAGTTATGTATTTTGATCCTCGCATCTTTTGCAATGTATTGTTCTTTGTCATAAAAGAAAGTAGTACAATTAATGGGTAGCTGGAGTATCATTATGATTTGAAGGATATCCACTAACATGGACTTTGAACTTCCAGTTGTCCTGACAGAACTACATAAAATTATGAGGGGCATGGATAGGGTTGATTGTCAGAGTCTTTTTCACAGGTTGGAAATGTCAAATACTAGACAGCAAAGAAGCAAGATGTGAAAAGCATGGTAGGTGCCTGGAATGCACTGCCAGGGAAGGTGGTAGAAGCAGATATAATAGCAATGTTTAAGAGTCATTTAGATAGATGCAAACAAGTAAGGAAGATGGGAAATGACATCATGGTTGATGCAAACATGGTTGATGGGCCAAACGGCCTGTTCCTGGCCTGTACTGTTCTATGTTCCATGTTCTATTGTCAGTTGAAAGAACTACCGCACAAATTTCACATTTTAAACAAAGTCTCTCATTGTACACAAATTAAATGAAGCAAGTATACTAATTTAACACTTTTATATGCATTTTGTAAGATGTGAGAGTTTCCTGATAATTTCCAGGATTTCAAGGGTTCTTTCATTTCACATGAGCCCAAATCAAGGTATGGCCTAGTTTTCAACAATTCACTGTAACTCTCCTGAGCTCTCCAGTCTGTTGCTTAGACTTCCGGAACGCTCTCTGTCAGGACTCCACTGACTATCTTTTCCACAAACTCTTATCAAGCAAACCTGATCATTTAAAATCCTCATTAATTTGAAATTCTTGTAGAGTATGAGCCCACTCTCAATTACTTCCGAGTAACTTTGGATCAGGAACATCCTTCGTTCCTGATGGCCTTTACGCTCCTTTCTTTCTTTATGCCCCTTGTTCTGGCTTCTGCCAAATACACAACTGCCTTGCATTGTCTTTCAAGCAAATCAACTATTTCTGTCAGAAAAACACACAGATAAACCTCCAACAAAAGACTTTCCTCCTGCTATCCAGCTCCAGAGCAACAGCACATCTATGATAGCTCAGTTATAGATTTCAATTGATCACTTTCAATTTCCAAACTTATCCTTTGGTCGGAGAAGTACATAGATAGTTCAATATCTTCACTTATTTACCCTTTGCTTTCAAAGCTCTTTCCTCTGGGACCCACATGAATAGATCAAACCAACTATATTATTAACTATAGATATATTGTCTTTATCAAGCAACTTAGAAAGAGATTACCCATTGGTTTGTGGTTTCACTCTTCTACCTCTGAACTTTTTAACTAAGTATGAAATATCTTTGTGAATGCTCTTGGGGTGACGTAGAATGTTCTGAGGATGGGTCACCGAACCCAAAACGTTAACTCTGTTTTTTTCCTTCACAGATGCTGCCAGACCTGCTGAGCTTTTCCAGCAACTTTGTTTTTGTTTCTGATTTACAGCATCCACAGTTCTTTCTGTTTTTATTGAGTTTACAAAGAGATATTGATCGGCAAAGTAATTTGCCAACATTTTGCCCAATTAAGTACAATTTGGGAAAATGCAAAGTTGTTTATTTGAAAGGGAGAACAAAAAGAACAGAAAATTATTTAAATCGAGAAAAACCGCAACAAAGGCTGCAACAGAAAGGGACTGGGGAGTATTTGTGGATGAAACACAGAAAGCTGACACACAGGTGAAGCAGGTGATCAGGAAGGCTAATGGACAGATGGCCCTCATTTCAAGGGAGTTGGAGTATAAGAGTAGGGAAGTGGTGCTGGTGAGACGACATCCGTAGTACTGTAAGCAGATTTTGTCCCCATTTTCAGGGAAAGATATCATTTCATTGGATACAGTTAACAGAAGGCTCACTAGAATGATCCCTGGTATGGATGGAGTGTCTTACCAGCAAAGGCTAAACAGATTAGGATTCTATTCACTGGAGTTTTGAAGAATGAGAGGTGAATTCATTGAAACATAGAGGATTCTTAAGTTTCTTGACAGGGTAAATCCTGAGAGAAATGTTTCCCCTTATGGGAGAGTCCAGGTTCAAAACGCATAGTATCATAATAAAAGGGTACCAATTCATGACTGAGATAAGGACAAATTTCCTCTGAGTTGTAAGTTTTTGGAACTCCTTGGCCTAGAGAGCTGTGGAAGCAGAGTTCTTGTGTATATTTAAGACTGAGATAGATTCTTGATCAAGTGGGGAAAATCAAGGGTTACAGGGAAAAAGTTGGCATGAGGAATGTCGGATCAGCCATGATCCTATTGAATGGCTGAACAGGGTCAAAGGGCTTTATTACGGTCTCATGTTCACCTTAATCAAGCTTAAAAAGTAAAAGAGGTCACGCACTTCTGGTCTCAATTGAAGTTCAATCCTGGCAACAACACTCTGTTAACATTCTGCTCTGCTATCCTACAGATTTTGAATGCAATGCCTTACCAAGGTCTGTATCCATTGGAATTAGTCCTTCAGGCGAGGAACTTTGACAAATAGGAGATACAATTGCAGACAGATGGAAGGCCATTAAAATCAATTCTGCTACAGTCTCCCTCCACTCTGCTATTTTTAATACTGACCTAAAAAAAGACATTAAAACGACTGTTTATATTAACAGTAATGTAGTGTGTAAACAAACTGGCTATTATTAAACGGTTATATTGAACAAGTCAAGTTTATTTTAAGGATAATAGTGTCAGGTATATAAAGTACACAATCAGCTCTCTTCAATCCAAGTGTACTTTGAATCGTCATATTTATTCATTTAAATGTTAAATTGGGCTCTTTGTAAAATATATAACTAAATTATATATCCAAGCGTGCACTACAACAATAGTAGACAGTTCTGTATGTAAGTGGAAGCTTTCATGTAGCATTGCTCATTGTAAACTGTGATTTTATACTTGAGCACTGTACCAATGTAACACACAACGTGACTGTAAAAATGCAGCTGTCCCCTTAAAAGCCCTAAAGACAAACTGTTGGAGAAAGGCACATCCTGGGATGATTGCTGGTAATACTCAAATTCCCAGCTTTTGGAATATATAAAATTGTCATGCAAAGGTGGCAAGTTTACGCAACGTGACAAAACCAAGCTGTTGTATTACCCTCAGCATAACAGTGTAGCTCCCACGTGTTGGGCAGTAAGCCAGAAGTTAAGCTGTTTTACATTATGCAACATACATGATAGCACCACTTATTTATATTGATTGAATATGTGAAACTACATTTTTATTGATATAGAAATTGAGGGCAGTCAGTGCTATTGTAACGAAGCTGTATGATAACATGCATGTTGACCTCAAGGGAAAGAGTACTGTTACAGTGCGAGAGTTAGAGCCAATGTTGCATGATACACCGCCTACGTTGCAATGTTGAAATAACAACACCACATATAGAACTGACACTTGAGGTAAATACAGGTATTTTGGAAATGAGTTTACCCAAGAACAAGACCTAATGTAAGTATCTTCTACATATTTGATCATTAAATGTTGCAACCCCAGTTGGCATTAAAAAGAAAGATCACTTACTTTAGGGACAGTTGTTGCAGAGCTCCAATAATACAATGGACTCTTCCGTATAAGGGGTTGGAGGCTGCTGTGTGCACCAGTGATCTTTCAGCCTGTCTGAGCTCATCTGACAGACAGATTAGCAGGTATTTAGTAACTAAAAAAATTAGGAGGAAAAGTAAATACAGATTAAATTAAAATAAACAATATTATTTACATATACACCAAAGGCTTTTCTGTACAGCCTGTTTCTCTAAACTAAGCCAATAGGGTTTTAAGGCATCTGTTAAGATTTCACATTTACGTTTTACAGTTATGATGGATTAGGTTTTGTAGCAATCTCTTTGCATGAAATTGCCCTCATGTTTGAAATAGTTTTCATATTGCACATTTATCTGTCTCAAAATTCTGCAAAGATTTTTTAACGTTATTAACAAAAAGCCAACTTCTGCCAAAAACATACAGTCCCATTCCACAGCAATCCATGCCAAAAGTTGAAAAATGACTTAAATAAACAGCTTTTCATTTTGAGCATATTACATTTTACAAAGTATGCAGAAAAGACATTTTCCCAAAAGACTAAAGTAACTATTTAATAAATACATACTGTCGGTTTCTGCTTTCGATCATTCTATTTATAGCCCTTGCATCCATGAAAAGGAAACTTCAAATGAGTGTTTGTGCTGTAAGTAAACTTCAGAAGATTGGAGCTAATCAGCTTTAGCGCAGAATTCTAGCCAAGACAGCATGCACAGGATGTACTCTGGATGGGCAAACGTCCATGTCCAACACGGAGAATTGATTGGTAGCTGAGTACTAACCAAACTAAGCGATATTTAAAGATCTTAGCTACTTGCCTGTGGCAAATGCTGAGCAAACCAGCATGACAGATTAAACTACTCGACCATTAACTTGTCAAATTTATGTTAACGTATCATTAAGTTTAAAGTTAGACAGGTGGAGAGCACCAATAAAATGCCTTAAATACACTGACACTTCTGGAACACAATGTTTGAGGAAGAGGCAGAGATTTGTAATGCTACATTCTACAAATAAATTTATGAGAAATTAGCATCTGGTTTGATAATTCCCTGCCAGAAATTTAACATAGTGGCAGAGAGCAGTTGTTTAAAAATTAAGATGAAAGCAAAGATACTTTTTAACAGACTGAAGACTGTAATCTGAGTTATTTTGAGGAAGAACAGCAGAAGGCAAGTGAAAATTGTCAAGGTAAAATTTCCCACTACTTTCACTAAATTTTTTTCAGTAGTCAGTTCAAATTAAGTGCACATATGGACACAGGTTACATCCTTACCAAAAGAAAACAAGGTAAGGCCTTGGCACTGTTGCTTTCAAACAGAAATAATATCATAACTAAAGTATTTTGAGGGTTGATGTCCATTAGTTGGATATTGATGGAAGTTCAGATTTTTCTCAACTTTCAAGAAAGTTATTGTGTTACGTACCTAAAAGCACAGCAAAACTTGCAACAGATTTTGAAAAACAGAAAGCAATCATTGCTAGCAGCCTTAAAAGGTGCAAATAGGAACATAATGCAGTGTGACAAAGGCTTGAGGAATCAATTAACTCAGCCTTGAAATTCAGGATGTAGGTACTTATAGCAGATCACAATAGACAATGGAATTGGAACAGACAGCAGGTGCTTCAGATAGGAGTCAATACAATTATGCAATGAACTGCCCAACCAATGATACAATGAATTCAAAATTTAACTATAATGATGATCAGTCTGAGGCAACTGTGCATGCATAGCCAGCTTTTGTTCAGTAACAAGTGTATTAATTACAGATCGTTATCCGCTCCTTGTTTGTCCAACTGTTCTTTTCTCTGAGATAGTGGGAACTGCAGATGCTGGAGAATCTGAGATAACAAAGTGTAGAGCTGGATGAACACAGCAGGCCAAGCAGCATCAGAGGAGCAGGAAGGCTGACGTCTAGGCCCGAAACGTCAGCCTTCCTGCTCCTCTGATGCTGTTCTTTTCTCTCTTTGGGCTTTATCCCTACCCATCATTTACTCCTTGCCCCCTCCCCCACCCTATCTTCTGCATATAAACTGACATTTTCTTAGCTACCATCAGTTCTGAGGAAGGGTCACCGGACCCAAAACGTAAATTTACAGCATCCGCAGTTCTTTCAGTTTCCAAAGATGTTGAATTCCAATGAGGCAGAGGCAGTAGCTTCAATAGATTAAACAGTAAAATAAAGACTACAGAATAATCTAGAAATATTGTTGGTAATTAGAAGCCCTAATGACCTGAAGTTTTGGTCAGTACTAACAATCAGAAGATAAATTAGATTTGGGAGGTAAAACAAAACCCGCCGGACAGTTGGAAGGAATTTGTTGTTTATTGTGAAGTTCCAGATGAAAGACAGCCAGATGTATCCCGTAAATAAATGCGTTATCAGAAAATGTCCTCTCAGAAAGTACTGAGGCTTTACTGAACATCAGACCATACAAACCATTTGGCCCCTTGAGCATGCTCTGCCATTCAACAAGATCATGGTTGATCGGATTGTGGCCTCTGTTTTAAAGTAAGGCCATTACTTTAAACTGTTTGCCTTTGTTTTATTCACCAACCATTTTCCACCACCACAAGGATGAACATACTTTCAGCATTTCTCAAGTCCCCTCAGGATTTGATATGCCTAAAGAAGGCCACCTCTCATTCTTCTGTCAATTCTTCTAAATTCCAACAGATGTAGGTTAAGCCTCTCCAACCTTTTCTTAACAAGCAATATCTCCATCCCAGTTATCAGTCCAAAGATGTGCAGGCTAAGTGGACTAGCCATGTTAAATTGCCCATAATGTTCAGTGATGTGTAGATTAGGTGGGTTTATGGGGGGGTGGGTCTGGGTGGGATGCTCTGAGAGTCAGTGTGGACTTGTTGGGCCGAAGGGCCTGTTTCCACACTGTAGGAGTTCTACGATTCTAAACTTTCTCTGAACTACTTCTAATGCATTTATGTTCTCTTTCTTAAATAGAGAGATCCACAATATTCCAGAGTTGGCCTTAACAACACCTAGATGATGGCAATAAAATACCCCTACTTTTAGAATTTATTGCAAAGGCAAGCAATATAACAGCCATGTCTTTTTAAGCACTTGCTGTACCTGTACACTAACTTTTGATTCATATAGCAGGATACCCAGATCCCCCTATATCTCAGACATCAACAGACTTATTTAAATAATATGATATGATGTGTTCTTCTTACCAAAATGAATAAGTTCACATGTACATACATTACATTAAATCTACCAAGGTTTTGCCCACCTATCTATGTCCCTTTGCAGAATCCTTACCTCTTCTTTATAACTCACCTTTCTATGTATATTTGTGTCATCAGATCATTTAGCTATCATACATTCAGCCCTGCCTTCAAGTGATTGAGATAAGAGACCGCAGCATTGATCCCCGTGAAACTCTGCTGAACATATCTTGCCAACCTGAAACGATTCGTTAATACCTGTATACTGTTTCCTATCAGCTAATCAATTCTCTATCCATGCTAATACATTACCCCCTACACTATGTGTTCTTCTTTAGCGTAGTAACCTTTGACATGGCACATTGCCAAGTACCTTCCAGAAATCCAAAAACAGCAAATCTACAGGTTCCCCTTTATCTACATTGTTTGTTACATCCTCATGTCTGTCCAAATAAATTGGTCTCCTTTTCACAAAGCCATGTGACTCTGCTTGAATTCTAAGTGCCTTGCTATTACGTCCTTAATAGGTTCCGGTATTTTCTGTACAACAGATGTTAAGCAAACAGGCCTTTGGTTATATCCTTTCTTGAATAAAGGAACCCCATTTGCTAGTTTCCACTTTTATGGGATCTTTTAAAATCTGTGGAATTTCAGAAAATTAAAACCAATACATCAACAATCTCAGCAGCCACTTCTTTTAAAACCCAAGGTACAGACCATTAGGATCTGGGGACCTGTCAGCTTTTAGTTTTAATAATTTACTCAGTACCCTTTCACCCCCAGTAATTGTAATTGTTTTAAGTTCTTTTCTCTCTTTTGATCAGTTTAAAATACTAGTCTTAGATCCAACACACTCTCCCTCAACCAAATGTAAAATTCAATTATATTTTCATCACATCTCTAGACAGCAATGAGGCCATAAATTAATCTTGTCTCGTTGCATGAAATTGGTGTAAGCCTACCATTGTCTGGCTCCAGAACACGTTGCCCTAAGAAACTATCCTGAAACTTCTCCATGAACTCATCATTCAAGCTATCTTTGCCAATTTGACTTTTCCACTATACAGTAGATTAAAATAACACAGGTAATCACCAGAGCTTTCCCACAAGATCCATAATTCTTTCCTGTACCATGCCATTTAGAGTGCATACTGTATAAATCACTCTCTAAAGTGACTTTGTCCCTTTAGTATTTCTCTCCTCACCCAAACTAATTTCATAACTTGATTTTCAGAACTCAGGCGATCTTTCTTTGGACTAAATGTCATTCCTCAATAAAAGCAGCTCCCCTCCAAACGTTTCTTGGCTCCCTGTCCCTCCCCAACATCTCAGAGTCTTATATATTCGGGTCATACGAACATACATACAAATTAGCTGCAGAGGTAGGCCATTCAGCCCCTCAAGCCAATTCCACCTTTCAGTAAAGTCATAAATGATATATTTGATTTGAATCCTACATTCCTATCTAACCCTCATAATCATCGACTGTCTTGGTTAATGAGAATCCACAAGAATTTTTATTACAGATTTATTACAGTGGCAGGATTGGATTTGTGCCTCTGCAGCATTAATCCAGACAGGTTGGAAGGTAGGGCAGCAGAAGAGAAAGCAAACCAAAATACACTGAATTGCAAATCAACACTAACCTTCTAAAACGTTGGTTTCTAGTACTTCATTATTCATTGGTTGCCTTCCATGAACCTTGTTGAGGTAATCAAAATGGTAACCAGTCTGCTGTTTCAAAGAGCAAGCGTTTAAAGCTGACATTAAGCTTTCTTGCCGTACCAGAAGAGCCAGGAGATATGAAGCAGTGATGCAATCATAAGGTTTGGTACTGATTGACAGATCCAAAGCTGTCTGTAAAAGTGTTTGCAATTTCTCACTGTCCTGTAAGGAGGTGCAGAGTGACATTTAATAAACATTTCCAGCTAAAAGAAACAGCCATGTAAATCTGCCAAATTTCTGAACATATGCTTTACAGCACTGACATTGCTACATAGACAGACACTCCATGGCATAATGATGGGGTAAGTTTAAAAGTGAAGAAAATCAGGTAAAGTCACTTAAAATTCCTGAAACTAAAATCAAAGACCTGAGACAAGTGTCAAATAATAAAGCTCACTGGCAGATCTTGTGAACAGAGCTTGCAATGTTAAAGTAGTAAGACATTATTCTAGTTATGTGTTGCCCAAAAATCTGGAAAACATGAACAATTTCTCAAGGTAGCATGAACAGATACCCACAACAAGGCACATCTAAATACAGTATTTGTTCATATGATTCACTGAAAGTTCATCAAAGGTAAAACCAGACTGCTAAACAAAAAAAAAGGTAGCTTACTGTCCTCAAAGTTAACATTTATTCACCACTAGGAAGCAAGCCACTGAGCTTTATTTGTGTTAAATTGGCTGATAGGATGTGGGCATATTACCCAACCTTAGTTGGGCTTGAGAAGATGGTAGTTCGTAACGAGTTACCTTCTTAATCCATTGCAATCCATAGACTCACAATGCCATTAAGGAAGGAATTTGACCAAACGACACTGAAGGAACTACAATATATTTCCAAGTTAGGATGGTGAGCGGCTTGGAGGGGAACTTGCTGGTGGTCGTGTATTTGCTTTCCTGGTCCTTCTAGATGGTAGTGATCAATGATCTAGATGGTGTGAAAGGTGCCATTTAAAGGAGCTTGCTGAATTTCTGCAGTGTATCTTGTAATTGGTACACACTGTTGCTACTGACCATCAGTGGTGAAGAGACTGAACACTTGTGGATTTGGTGCCAATCCAGCCTCGAGTCTTGTTGACATTGCACTCATTTAGGCAAATGGCAAGTATTCCATCACACACCAGGTTTGTGCCTTGTAGATGATGGACAAGTTTTTGGGGAGGTAGGAAAAGAATTATGGCCTCTGCCCTGCTCTTGTAGACAGAGTTAGAGTATTAGAGTTGGAACCAAAGACTATAAAATGTTTTCAAGGAAATCAATATAGTTCTTACAGCTAAAAGTATCAAGAGGTATTGGGTGAAACCAGGAACTGGGTGCAAGCAGGAGAATCATACTGAATGGGGAAGCAGGCTCAAAGCACTGAATGCCTTACTCCTGTCCTATTTTTTAATATTTCTATGCTGGATCATTCCATGCTTCTGTAAAATACTGCACAGTGGCTACTTAAAAGGATGGGTGTGCACTGACAATCAACAACAGTGGCAGAAAGCACAGGTTGAATCCCTCGTATGCCAAGTACATCATGTCAGGAAAACTGGAGTGTTGCTCGTTGCTAAGTATGAGAGAGATAGACAGACAGACAGACAGACAGACAGACACACACACACACACACACACAGTGGCAGTGACAGGATGCATGCAACAGGGAAACAGATACTCAGACAGTGAGAGAGGGAGCAGACAGAGACATAGGCACCATTAATAAGCAAACCACTTCCTCATTCTCACTTTCCCTATAACAGAAATATTTTTTCTTTATTCATTAACAGGATGAGGGCATTGCTGGCTAGGCAGCATTTATTGCCCATCCCTAATTGTCCAGAGGGCAGTTCAGAGTCAACCACATTGCTGTGGGTCTGGAGTTACATGGAGTTACAAGGCCAGACCAGGTAAGGATGGCAGTTTTCTTCTCTGAAGGACATTACTGAACCAGATTAGTTTTTCTGACAATGGATTCACAGTCATCATTAGATTCCTAATTCCAGATATTTTATTGAATTCAAATTCCACCATTTGCTGTCACGGGATTGAACCCACATCCCCAGAACATTATCGGAGACTCTGGATTAACAGTCCAGCGATAATACCACTAAGCATAGCCACATGGTCTATGCACATGGTCTATTGATAATCAGGACAAAAACCATTTGAAATCATCACAAATGGTCATATATGTATATGCAAAATTTTCGTTTTCAACCAATTGCTCTTTGACTCAATGGCCCGAACGGCCTCTATCTGCACGGTAGGGATTTTATCATTCTATGAATTTTGAGGGAAATGCATTTTAAAATCTAAATATGTACTAAGTGTAATTAACAGCAAATGCTCCAAGATGCCCACCCAAGCAAAATCTGATCCAGTGTTTATTGGTAAACATTCATTTAATCCAGTTTCAGTTTCTTGTTGTTAAGCCAAGATCGAACAAAAATTAACACTTCCAAGTACTTCAACTGTAACACTTTGAGGTGAGACAGATATTCAAGAAGCAATACTTTTTCATTATATGTACTTAATTAATAATATACAAAATATCAAAAAATCATTAATACATTAAAAAAAACCAAGAAATCTTAAACAGAACCTGCTTTGATTAGAAACTTACTGAACCATTACCAAATCATTGCCTGGAGTATGTTACCTGTAATCCTAAAACTGTAGGTGGAAGTTTCTTCAAAATGTCATAGGCCAGTAATTTCAATTCTTCAAAAGTGCTGCTCAAACACCCAAGTAAAGCATCAACATTGGCTGGCCTCAAGACATCAGTTATTTGCATCACTCTATAGGTCTGACCTGTAGAAAAACCATTTAAAACAAAGTTACTGAATCCAACATCAGGCCAGTGAACATTTTTTTTGGGTTAAAAACACTGCAAACTTTGCAATACGGTGTATATAATTGTATTTCCCAATATGGCTAACACAGCACTTTCGGAGCTGAACTTCTGGATATTTAGAAACGGAAGTGCTGTTTTTTTTAAAGACAGAGGTGTTGACAGTTTTGAAATCAAGCAACTGTCTTTGAAAAGAGGAAACTATTTCCAATATCTGTTAGCATAGTGGTCAGGAAATGGTTAGGTGATTAATACCTTAATGGGAATAAATTGAGGAACCTGTTCATGGAAAAATAACTTGGAAAGAATGAGGGAAGATAAAAGAGAATGTTGAGAAAAATGTGAAAGTTCAGAGTTAGGCCAAACAGACTGGTTTTTGTGACAAAGGAAATGGGAGAAGCAAGAAAGGCAGTTGAAACTGTCATCTCAAATTAGCAATAAGGAAGTTCAGAAATTCCTGACAATTGTTTAAAATTAGGATAGGGCAGGCAGAAGAAAGGAGATACAGCGACGCCAAAAGGAAGAAGAGTTTATCCTCTCCAAGATGATCCTGGATTAATGTAATTTTTGGCAGGAGAGTGAACTATAACAGCAGGAAGGCTTCCTGCTCCTATGATGCTGCTTGGCCTGCTGTGTTCATCCAGCTCTACACCTTGTTATCTCAGATTTTCCAGCACCTGCAGTTCTTACCATCTCTGTGTATCAGATGACTATGACCAGAAAAGGCCAAACATGGGCAAACAACTAGAACGGAAGAGTGCAAATATCAAAGTGGGACGCTTAGCAATGATGGCTATAGTAGCACTACAGAAAACTGAGGTATGTGAGCGTTAAAGGTAATGAAGTTGTGTTTTAGAGAGTGCAGCTCAAAATATGACAAAACATGCAATACAGCCAGGGGACTCAGGATTCAGGACTCAATAGCACTATCTCACAAGCACACCACACAAGTAAATTCATCTAGCTTACCCTCCAAATTTTCAAAAACCTCAGCAATTATTCCTAAGAGACTCAAGACAATGAATTTCCTTGGAAATGAAGCACCTGGAAACAGAGCTTGTAAGAGTGTGTCACATATCCAGACCATAAAATCCTGGAAAATAAAAATGAAAGGTCTAGTCATCATTATCGAATTGCTGCTCCTATATTTCAATTGCAATATGCCATTTGTCTCAGTTCTGAGGAAGGGTCACCAGACCCGAAATGTTAACTCTGTTTTTTCCTTCACAGATGCTGCCAGACCTGCTGAGCTTTTCCAGCAACTTTGTTTTTGTTGCTATTTGTCTCAGTTATTTATTTTTTAAAAATTCCCTGTAACATCACATCTGTTCTGCAGTAATTTAATTCTGCTTTCTGGTGTTTCTGACTTAACAAAAATTGGATTCAGGGAAAGTCTTTAGAATTCTTGTGTGCCACCTTCCTATAGTAGTGAGGGACTGAGAAACCATCAACAAATAAAATGAGTTCGTGGCTATTTCATTCACCTAGCTTTAGCTGCAAAACATAACAGCAGTTCATCAGATCAGTGCACAAAGCACAATCTCTTATGATCTTCCTCCTGACATAGGCTCAGAGTATGTTCACCAATATTTACACATTTTTCAGTTCTATTCACAATTCCTCGGATTTAGAAGCAGTCTATACCCCCGTACAGCATGGCCAAGACAACATTCAGACTTTGGCTGATATCAAGCAGTTAACTTTTGCGTCACACAATGTCTAACTTCAACAAGTCAGAATCTAACATTATCCCCCGAAAATTCCAAAACATTACAATTGCTTAATCACGCACTATCCATTAACCAGAAACTTCACTGGACCAGCCACATAAACATTGTGATTACAAGCGCAGGTGAGAAGTTGGGAATTCTGCAGCAAATATATAATCTCTTTATTTCACAAGACCTGTCCACCATTGACAAGGCACAAATAAGGAATGTACAAAACACTTCCCACTTACATAAACATGCTAAAAGATTGACACCATCCAAGTCAAAGCAACTCACTTGATTGGCACCAATGTTAATCGTTAGCAATAGTTATGTGGATGTGTAACCTATAGAAAACGCACTAAAGAAACTCACCAAACTCCTTCAATAGTACTTCCCAAACCTACATCCAAGCACAAGAACAAAGAGAACAGTGGATAAAACCACCAACCAAGGCCCACTCAAGTTTCCACCAGTGTTCCACTCCTCTAAGTCACACAATACCTTAACCTGGAAATGTATCATTGTACCTTCAGTCATTTAGAAGGGGAATGCCAGGACTTATCCCAACAGCACTACGGGTGTACCTATTGTCGACAGCAGTTCAAGATACCAGCTCAGCAACACGTTTGCATGGGGAACTGGGGATGGCCAATAAACTCTGGTGCCACCAGTGACATACATTTATTATGAATTAACCAAAAAAAAAAGTTCTTAAAATAATTTATTCTGAGTAACCCATAGTATAGTTTAGTTAAGCTACTTCTGGATAACCAAGTGTTACAAAATATGTGGTTAGAACATTTTATTATTTAAGTCTATATTGTACTGATTTTAATGTCACAAGCCTGTCTATTGTTTGTTACACAACACTTTTAACAAGGAATTAAAATCTGTCATAAACTAAATTGAAAATGAAGTTTTCTATTGGATTTTATGAAGGCAAAGATGAACATAAGCTATTAAATTTAGCATTGTGAAATTTTAAAAAATGGTTTCGCTGACTAGATTTTATTCAGTCTTCGAGTTTATCTTTTATAAAACCTCTATAATCAATGGAATAAAACAGACAGCAATATTGATCCAAAACTGGCTGAGTGACAGGAAATAGAGTAGTGGTTCATGATTGTTTTTCGAAATTGAAGAATTAGGACTCCGGTGCTTCCTAATATATATTAAATCATCTAGGCTCAGGTATAGACAGCATAATTTTCAAGTATATGAACATACAATATTTGGAAGTGTTGTGAACTGCCAGGTGGATGTAATATAAAATTTCAAAAGGATATGGGTAGGTTAGTAGAATAGTACATGAAATTTCATGCAGAGAAGTGTGAAATAACAGGTTATTGGAGCAGTGAGATAACATAAAATAAAGGATACAATTCTGAAGGGAGTGCAGGAACAGAGGGAGGGGGCAAGTATCATATGCATAAATCATTGAAGTGGCAGGGCCAGCCGAGAGAGCAAGTAATAAAAGGATATAGCATCCTAAGTTTTATCAATATTACATTACAGCACAAAAGCAAGGAAGTTTTGAAACTTGTACAATACACTAGCTTGGTATACAAACAGTCCTTTGGTAGTACAGAACTTAAGTATTGCTGAAGAAGATATTTTGTTGAAGCTTTTTAACTTTCTGTCATCAGGGCAATTTATAAGAAGTATCAAACTAAAGCGAAAACACCATTCATATTGGATGGGAAGATAGCACTGATTGATTGGTAAGCATATGCTGATGGTTGATGCATTGCCATAGAGAACACACCAATTAATGATGACTGACAGTTAACTGCTAAGCTTGTTTACATTTTAAATGCTGCTACTATATGGCAGCAATGCCAATGGCGTTTGTCACTAACAGCTGCTGTCAAGCCAAAAAGTCATTCTACCTATTACAGAAATGAGTAATGCTGCACAAGTTTCAGAACCAGTGAGATATTAGGTATATAGGCCATACATCTAAAAGACTGGTGGATGATATGAAATAGCATATACGTTCAGTGGCTCACAACAAGCAAAGTACTTACCATACCTAGCAAGTTTGAAAATCTCAGTGTCAAACGTTTGGTGAAATTCCACAATTGGACAACTTTTGCTAGATAATAGCGTGCATAAAAAAATTACACATAAACAACGGCTCAGAAATGTAAAAAAGGAACTAGGTTAGACTTGTATCGAGTTTGAAAGAATTAAACAGAGCAACTTTGACAGATGGGTGACAGCATTAAACACAGAAAAGACATATGAGGATCTTAGTGATGTTATTCTGCTGGAGGAGTTTAAAAACTCACTTCCAGAAGTGATTAAAAACTCATGTTGAGGAACAGGAAACTAAAACAGTGAGAAGAGCTGCAAAGATGGCAGATGAATATGCATTAGTGCATAAATTGAAATCTAGCTTCTGACAACAATTTCATTCTGTGAAGGATAGAAATTGGGAAAGAGGCAGCTCCAATGAAAAACAAAAAATAGATCACACTGGGAACAGTTTACCACATGTGAAAAAAGAAACCCAAGAGGGTGGAAAAGAGGTGAAAGACCTCAGGTGTTTTCACTGCAATAGGTGGGACATACAAAGTCACAATGCTAGTTGTTGAAGAAAGGCACTGGGAAAAAGGATGTGGTAAAAGAAGTTAAACCAGTGGGATTAGTCGAGGTAGTGAAGGAAATCCCAAGAGAAGTTGAGGAGCTGCAGGAGAGTGCACAGCCTGTCACGGGCTGGATAGTAAGATAGCACTGATCTTTTCAAAGACTTCACCTGTGAGGGTAAGGTTTACTCAGGTAGAACAGTGGGAGTAGGTAAAGAAGTTAAAATATTGAGAGATACGGGAGCTGGTCAGTCTCTAATAGTAACAGACAAAAATATTTGCACTCCTTCTGAAATATTGCCCGAGAGTGATAATCTGTGGAATAAATGGTGGGAGAATTAAGATAAAATAAGGTTACCTATGTAAGATAAGGTTAGAAAGTCCAATCAAGACTGGGGAAGTGATAGTGGGAGTTATGAAAAAAGTGGCTATTCCAGGAATACAGTTTGTTCTTGGAAGTGATATCACTGGATCACAGGTGGGAGTGATGCCCATAGTAGTGGAAAAGCCAAAAGAAAACCAGGGAACTGAGGAGTTAAAAGAAAAATACACTGGGATTTTTCCAGACTGGGTGGTGACAAGATCCCTCAGCCACAAGTTAAAACAAGAAAGGGAAACAAAAAGAGAATGAAGGAGTTGAGGTTCAGTTAACTGACACCCTGTTTCATGAGATGGTAAAGGAAAAACCTAAGCAGGTAGAGAATCAGGCAGAAATGTTTAGTTTGGAAAGATTAATGGAGTTACAACAAAAAGATGAGACGATAAAGGATTTAGATCATGAAGCCTACTCTGAAAAGAAATCAGAACGTATTCTAGAATGCTATTGCCTTTAGGGTAAAATCTTAAGGTGGAAAGAGAGACCTTGGCCAGTTAGTGAAGATGAGAAATGGGCAGACATTCACCAGATTGTGTTGCCGATAGAATACAAACAGGGAGGTATTGCGGGTAGCACACGAATTACCTTTAGGAGGTCACCTAGAAGTGAGGAAGACTCAGGCTAAGATACAGAAGAATTTCTATTGGCCTGGATTACAAAGATGTGGTTGAATTTTGCTGTACCTGTCATATGTGTCAGATGGTAGAAAAGCCACAGGCAGTAATAAAATCAGCGATTTCAGTGTCAATTCCTGCATTTTGAAGAACCTTTTACGCGAGTTACAATTGATTGCGTGGGTCCCCTCCCTAAAACCAAAAGGTGGGAACCAGTATTTGCTAATCACAATGCATCTGTCTACCAGGTTTCCGGAGGCAATTCCATTATGGAATGTTAAGGCAAGAAAAGTTGTGAGGAAGTTACTTGCTTTCTTTACCCATTGTGGATTACCTGGGGAAATTCAGTCAGATCAAGGGTCCAATTTTACTGCCAAATTAGTCAAGGTCGTCATGGATAGTTTAGGCATCAAACACTTTAAATCAGTTGCGTACCATCCTGAATCCCAGGGAACATTGGAAAGGTGGCATCAGGCCCTAAAGACCATGCTGAGGGCTTATTGCCAGGATTATCCAAATGATTGGGATAGAAGTATCCCATTTATATTACGTGCTATGAGAGATGCCCTAAATGAATCAACACAATTTACTCCATTTGAGTTAATATTCGGACACGAAATAAGAGGGCATTTAAAATCAATTAAAGAAAAGTTGATAGGTCCGGAGTCAGAGATCTCACAGTTGGACTATGTATCTGAGGTGAGAGAAACATTAAACAGAGTAGGTCAATTAACTCGACAACATGTGAAGTGGCACAGCACAACTAACGAAGCAAGAAGCAGATAAGAAATCTAAAATACATATGTTTGCCCATAGGGATAAAGTATTGGTGCTGTTACCAGTGGTAGAAGATCTCTTCAAAGCAAGGCTTAGAGGTCTCTATCAGATTGAGAAGAAGTTAAGTCAGGTGAATTATCTGGTAAAGATGCCAGACAGGAAAAAAAATTACCAGGTGTGTTTTGTGAACACCCTGAAACATTACTATGACAGGGAAAGGGAACCATAGAAGCAGGTATTAGTTACTCAGAGTGAGGAAGCAAATCCAGATGATTTGGATTTTGATGTGCCTCAGAATAACTTAAATAACGAGGAAATCCTTAAGGAATGGGATAGGGTAGTCAACAATCTGTCCCTGGAACAGAGAACTGAATTGAAAGACTTGTTGCAGTGCTATCAGGACTTTTGTAGAAATAGAATGGGAAGGGCTAACACCATAGTACATGAGGTTGATGCAGGGAATGCTGTTCCAATAAAACAACACCTCTACAGGCTAAATCCTCTGAAAGCAGCACAAGTTCAGAAGGAAGTAGAAGCGATGCTCCAAGAAGACATCATAGAGCCAAGTCAAAGTGAGTGAAGTTCACCAATCATGCTGGTTCCCAAACCTGATGGTACTGAACAATTCTGCATAGGTTATCGGAAGTTCAATGCCATGACCAAGTCTGACTCATACCCAATTTCAAGGCTGAAGGACTGCGTGGAAAAAGTGGGATAAACCACCTACATCACAAAGTTGGACTTATTTCGCGGTTACTGGCAAGTACCTTTTGTCGGAGAGACCGAAAGAAGTTTCTGCTTTTGTAACCCCAAATGGGATATCTCGATTTAAGGTAATGCCCTTTGGAACGAAAAACGCACCAGCCACTTTTCAAAGGTTTATGAACAGAGTTGTTGCAGGATTGACTAATTGTGCCATCTATGTAGATGACTTAGTGATCTTTAGCCATACATGGAAAGATCACATGCAGCATTTGGCAGAGCTCTTTGAGAGGCTACAGAAGGCAAAGTTGGTCATAAACTTCGCAAAAACAGAATTTGCAAAGACAGAAATGACACTCTTAGGGCACAACATCTGATATGGACGGATGACACAGAGGAACGCGAAGACGAAGGCCACTGAGGAATTTCCTCGACCATTCTCGAAGAAGGAAGTAGTATGATTTTTAGGATTGAGCGGATTCTGCAGGAAATTTGTACCAAACTTTAGTAGCGTAGTAGCACCGCTGATAGATTTGTTTAATTATTTAAAAAAAAAACACGAAATTTCGGTGGACAGAACAATGCCATCAAAAAGGATCAGAGCTGATCCAACATTCCTCACGTCCACTTTCCTGCCTTTTCCCCATAACTCTTGATTCCCCTACTGATCGTGAATCTGTCTCAGCCTCAAATATACACACGGACTCTGCTTCCACAGCTCTCTGCAGCATGGAGTTCCAAAGACACTCAACCCTCTGAAGGAATTCCTCCTCATTTCAGTCTTAAATTGGTGCCCCTTTATTCTGATACTATGCCTTTGGCCCTGAACTCTCCATAACAGGAAACATCCTCTCAGCTTTTACCTGTTAAGCCTTTTAAGAATTCTTTATGTTTCAATGAGATTACTTGTCATTCTTCTAAACTCCAGTAAGAAGGGTCTCAACCTGCTTAGCCCTTGCTGGTAAGGTACTCCATCCATACCAGAGAGCATCGTAGGGGACCTCCTCTGAACTGCCTCCAATGAAATGATATCTTGCCCTGAATAAGGGGACCAAAGCTGCTCACAGTACGCCAGATGGAGCCTCACCAGCTCCATGTACTTTTGCCGTTAAGACTTCCCTACTCTTGTCCTCCAAGCTCCTTGAAATGAGAGCCAACATTCTATTAGCCTTCCAGATTACCTGCTGCACCTGTGTGCTAGCTTTCTGTATTTCAAGCACAAGTACTCCCAAGTCCCTTTCTGTTGCAAGTTTCTGCATTTTTTCTCCATATAAATAATAATGTTTTTTGTTCTCCCTTCCAAAATGAACAACTTTACATTTGTAGTCTATTTACGTAACCTATCAATATCTTTTTATAAACTACTTGCATCTCTCTCACAACTTGTGTTTCCACCTATTTTTGTGTCATCTGCAAATTTAGCTACAGTAATTTGCCTCCTTCCTCCAAGACATTAATACATATTGTTAACAGTTGACTTAACCTTTTGTGAAGTACCTTATTGAATGCCTTCTGGAAGTCCATATTCAACACATCTATTGGTTCCCCTCTAATCACTCTGTTTGAGGGTTCCTCAAGAAACTCTAATAAATTTGTCACATATGATTTCCTTTTCATGAAACCATGCCAACTCTGCTGGATTATATCCTAATTTTCCAAACATGCTATTACTTCCTTAATAATTGATTTCAACATTTTTCCAAAAACAGATGTTAGGTTAATTGGCCTATAATTACCTGCTCTCTGCTGCCCTCTCTTTTTGAACACGGGTGTCACATTGGCAGTTTTCTAGTTCTCTGGTACTTTTCCAGAGTCCAAAGATTTTTGGGAAAATACCTACTTTTGGAAAAAAATCCTGGTGACAGTAGGTGAATTGCTCCTTCAGCTCCAAAACAGAAAAGATAGGCCAAAAGGTCTCCTATTGTACTTTTTGCACGTATGAAATACATTGTTTTCACCCCATTTTCATTATACACAAAACTAGTTATTTAATTATATACATCTCTGAAATTGAATCATTATTTTGAACCTTGTATTGTTGGAGCTGATGTTCTGCATGCTGAGACTTTGTGTTTTCTTCACACAGGGTATTCTTCTGCTTAACAGTCTGAGTTTGCTTATAAAGCACTTGGGAACTGTCCCGTAGCCTGGAGAAAAACTGTGTAAAAAAATTAAAAAAGATACAGGCAAAATCAAAAGCACTGTAAATACAATTATGCTACAAATAATAAGAAAATCAAGTCAAAAATATTCACCCACCTTTTTCATTAACCATACAATCTGCTGCCTCATTGCAGGAGACTGACTGTTCATGTTATATGGAAGAAAATACTTGATTAAAGCTATTTCTTGTTGTGATAGAGTTTCTGTACTACAGCGGGTCTCACATAGCAAGCCCAAAGCATCTAAACGGACCTGCAATAAATAAAAGGTATAGTTTTTTTAAGCTTTTTGCAATGTTTATTTTTTACATTTTTCCCTTTTCCTGAAAATACTCTACCATCTATACCTATGTGACCACTCATCAGGAAAGATTCACAGTTGGCAATTGTCCTGGTCCAAACCAGCACCTCATGCTAGTACAGCAATATCAAAAACCTTAATTAAGAACAGTAATGAGAACCCAGTGGCAATCATTCCTGCCCTCCTCAAAACCAGCATTTCATCAAATAAACAGAGCAGTCCTGGCAACGTACATATTATTCATTGTTCAATTTTGAGCCTGATACAATTTACACATTTCCATAGTACAAATCTTGTTATTCTACCTGCAACCAAAGAAAGGGAACTCTTCTCAATTGATAACCTTTATTAAGTATAAAGGCAAACCTCTGTTTCTAACAATGTTACATATGAATTGTGACAATTTAAATAATACATTGCACGTCCAGCTTTAAGGATAGTTTGAAGCTGGCTGGTTCAGAAACTGAAGTGCCATTAAACAAAACAGAGAAAAATATTTAAAAATATTCCATGCATAAATATACATCCATTTTACAGAAAACAACATTAAGTTCTAATTATTAATCTCACCATTGTAACCCGTGTTCAATTTTGGTCAGTCAAGTACCCAACATGCACAGAAAATTATTAGGCTTTAAAGTTTCCAAACCAATTAGCTATCAGCACCTATGGAGCTGCTATCTGCCTAATAAACACTGCACATCCTCTCCTCAAAGTAAGAGACCTAATACTTTGCCAAAGAATTTAGGTGAAAGCAAGCAATTGCCAACGCTTAGGGATCCCAAACAAACATTCTTTGGCCTCATGTATGTGCTGAAATTTAACCAACTGAAACTGCCCAATTTACCAACACAGAGTACTAGCAAAATGCAATGAGGTTCAGGGTTACTTGAAGCCAACGTGGCGAATTGAAAATTGTTTGAGCACAATTTTGTATGATGTAAACCAAACTTTCAATAGCTTTTTTCAATCACTTAAGAAAGATCGAAAAGACCAAAACTTGTTATCAATTCCTGCCTTCATAATAAAATCATCATACACCCAGGACCTCTACTTGTATCCTCTGCTTAACACATTCAATATCCCTTCATAAACAGTAGAGTCAAAGTACAATACTTCAGGGTATATATTATCTTTTGGCAGGGGTCAGCCCATTGCTCAAAATGAATAGAATAGATACTCAAAACCTTTTTAATCATTTTCCCAAACAAATGCACAACTTAATAGAATTCAACTGATCAGTTACAGGGGTGGGGCTCCAACTTAACCACAATGCTCCTCACTTGAAACTTGAAATAATGGAGTAGCATCCTAAGGCTTCACACACCGCACTCAACTGGAGATGGCATGGAGGTTAACAGAATCAACAATGTTATGCTTCATTCATCTTTTGGGAGCAAAAGGAAACAAGTTATTTGTCCTGATCAGTCGCAGTTCCCAGCACTACTTTCCAAGATTATTTTGTATTCATGAACTTCAGCAGCATTAAAGTGAAGGTCCACTATAAATTCAGAATCACCTGCAAAGAGCAACAGTTTAACCTAAGGTCACAGATGACAATTTAAGAACCTATTTAATATTGCCATACTTACCTGTTCATGTTTATGAACTAAAGCCTGCTTTATCAGGCTAATGGGTATCAGTTGGTCCCATGAAGATTCCTCAGCAGTGCTCCACAGTCCTTGAGCTCTAGCTGCTCTCAAGCAAGTCATGAGTGCTCCGAGAGCACCTCGATTGTTGAAAGGATCTAATTCAAGCAAAACAGATTGTTAGGCATCAGAAAGATTTAACAAGCAACCTAATATTGAAATTGCCAAATCACTCATCAGCACACTAACTCAATAAAAGCTAATTCTTATGTCAGCAGTTTGCAGTCAGCAAAATAAATAAACAAATCATTTGCATTTCATATTGGAAGCGAGAAATAAGCTATACTGATACCGTCCTACCCAAGATGCCAAATGGCTCTATCGTGCAGGATGAAAACATATGCAATATTTAAATGATCACTAAACATTGATTTAAGTGATGCAACAAACTTAATAGAGAACAAAAATATTGTAAGTGTGCAAAAATAAGTTAAATTACTGACTTTTGTTGCAAATATAATGAACTGATGCATTCTAATATGAGAATCCGTCATTTACAAATGATACATCTTTGTAAAAGTATACAATTTGATTTTGAGGTCAATCAGGGTCAACTTGCCAACTAATTAGCACCCTTTTGCCAATTGTTGAGATTGTTTTAAATTTATATTCCAGTGTGTCCTAATGAGTGCAAGACAAAAAGATTTGAAATCTCTCTTTTCCATAATTTTAAAAAGTGCACTTTTAAGAGACACAATACAATTCAAAAATATAAGCATCAGTAACAATATAACAGCCATCCAAGCAGACTAAATGCTTGAACAAGTTTGCTAGCGTGAATTAACATCCAACTTTCAGAATACGCATTTTAAAACCGTGAAGTGACAGTTCTGTGCTGCCTTGTTAAACTGAGCGAATAATCAGTTACCTTTAACCTATCAGGACTCTGGTACTATGAATTATTTACTATTCTGTGCTTTCCGTTTCTATTTAAAACGACTCAATTGTGCAGAATTTTCCAATTGGAGTTTTCACTCTCACATTAATTTCGTATTTTTGAGGGAAGGCTGAGGAACTCTAATGTTATACCTCCACACCTCCGGAAGTTGGGAAATTTATAGGCAAGACGAAGAAAAGTTCAGCTATTTTTCTTTACATGACACCCAATGACAGCACAAAAACGTACAAGCTGCAAAATGAAGAATGGTACTAATATTATAACTCCCAATTATGGAGCTTTTTTCATAAAGAATATTTCTGTATTCATTTTTTTTTACTCATTTCCTGATGTACAGTAGCAAGAAACTGATCATGCAATCACAAAATGGGGAAAAAATGTTCCACACCAAGGTTCTTTATCATCAGTTGCAACCACAAAGTAACTGTCTAAGTAAAAGTGCTAAGGCCTTTCATGCTCTGTTCATCATAATTTGAAAACTTTCAACACATCTGCAATCAACCAGGTCTAATCATCTTCTCAAAAGTTATAGTTTTAACAATGAGAAAAAAAAATCCATCGCATTAACATTAAAAATCTTCAACAAGTTAAATATTACAAGGTGGACAACTCCATATCAAATGCAATACTACATACAAACATATGTATTATGTGCAGAAGTAAACACTTCAAACCTGCTCCACCAGTCAGTAAGTCACAACTGATTTGTTTGCTCACCAAATCAATATTTCCATCTATCCCTGTAACTGCTGATCCCCTGTCTAATAACATTCTGCCTACCTCCACTGCATTCTAAGGTAGAAGTTCAAAGTCGCACCACCCTCAAAGAAATTCTCACCTCTACCCTGAAAGATCAGCTCTAATGTTAAACAACCCCCCGACTTCTAGACTGACCCACAACAGGAAACATCCTTTCCATATCAACTTTGCCAAGATGATTCAGGATCTTATACAGTTCAAATCAAATCACCCCTTGCTATTCTGAACTCTAGCAAAAACAAGTCCATCTTTCCTCAGACAACCTGCTCATTCCAAGTATCAATCTAGTAAACTTCCAATGAACTGCCTCCTCCACATTTATATCCATCCTTAAATAAGGAGAACAAACTGCACACAAGACATGGTCCCACCAATGCCCTGTACAACTGAAGCATTAAATCTTTACTTTTGATTACTACAAAAGGAAGTAGCCTTCCTGATTCAGTGCTGTGCCGACATACTAATCTTTCCTGACTGATCCACGAAAACACATAGACCCCTCTACATGTCAGAATTCTGCTGTCATTCTCTATTTGAGTAACGCTTTGTTTTATTTAAACTCTTTCTGCCAAAGTGAACAGCTTCACATTTTCCCACATTATACACCACCTGCCAGAGATTTGCCTGTTAACTTAACCTATCTAGAACATAGAACATTACAGCGCAGTACAGGCCCTTCGGCCCTCGATGTTGCGCCGACCTGTGAAACCAATCTGAAGCCCATCTAACCTAAACTATTTCATTATCATCCATATGTTTATCCAATGACCATTTAAATGCCCTTAAAGTGGGCGAGTCTACTATTTTGGCAGGCAGGGCATTCCACGCCCTTACTACTCTCTGAGTAAAGAACCTACCTCTGACGTCTGTCCTATATCTATCACCCCTCAATTTAAAGCTATGTCCCCTCG